TGTGCACATATACACACATAGATCAGTGTACACAAAATATTATTCTATTATTGCATATAGATGCATAAGTGATACATATGTAATTCTAGAATAATACTTTTTGTGTATGCATTATACATTATAATACACATAAAATGTAATTGTACTGTTACGTCCGGTGGACTCCACGATTTCTTCGTTTCTCCCGCCGTCAATCAACGAAGTAAGATATGAACAAATCCAAGTGATAACACAAATCCGAGAGAAGTTTCCAGCCACAAAATCTTGTTTGCCTAGAATCGAGAGACCCGCAATAAAAACTCTCTCATAGTGCCGATAATCAAACGTTAAATCTCCTCTCGAGCATCGTAGAAAATGAAAGTTAATATCAAATAATCACCAAATAGCGTTGGTACCAAGGCGCTAAGCCAGGTCTCGAAATGATTGCCTAGAATCGAAAGATCCGCGATAAAAAACTCTTTCGTAGCATTGACTATCAAACCTCTTTTTGAGCATCGTGGAAAACGAAAATCAACATCAAACAGCGTTGGTACCAAGGCTAAGCCAAGCCACGAAATAATCCCCGCGATAATAAGAGTGATAGCGCGGACCGACGCTCGAAAGAAGATGAAATGTTTAACCATCTCACACCGATATCACACGGGCCCAACGATAATGGTCCCACGCTTAGGCTTAAGATAGGGTTATAAATCTAGTAATGACATTTTCCGACACTGACAAAAATCCACACGAACCGCGACTCTCGATTAACTAATCCAGAAATATCTATCCATCGTTCAACGTGAGAACGAATAAAAAATGACATAGCGGGCGGAGCTAACCGGAAAGCAATTTTCCAACGACGAATCAAAATTGTATCACCTTAGAATCCCATAAATCTGATTCCCTAATTTTCCAATTAGACACACCCTACCATGGAACCTCCCACTAAACTATCCCTATATAAACCGCGACATCGCGAGACACAAGTCAGAAAAAATAGAGAGCAGCAAAAATAGAGAGGAGTAAAAATAGAGAGCAGAGAAAAATAGGAAAGTCAGAGAAATAGAAATTCAGAAAGTC